CTTACAACGTCATATACCTCAAGCAGTCCAAACAATCAGTTTTAAAGCGCACCAAATTATTTTTAGTCCAATCATTCTGATTCGACTTACGCACTTCCTACTGCGTGCTTAGTACGAAAACAAAAACATAAAATTGTCGCTTATGATGAAAACCAATAAAATGACTTTCAGACGCCCGAAGCCCCAAACCATAAATACTCCGGTTGTGGCAGTAGAGCACACTCTAGCGAGAATGCATGGAGTGGGTCTCCTCCATTTGCTAGCAATCGTTTTGAACACCTTCGAACCAGGGTAAGTTAGTAGTCCTTTATTCATGAAAAAAGCAAATTTATGTCGAAATATTCTTCCAGCGGTGAGAAGAGTTTAGTCTTGTCCTGGGGAGTTGAGGATGTTTGATCGGCAGGAAACTTCCGCCTACCGGGTGCCCTAAGGTTGAAATGTAAAATGTCAACGTTCTGCTTGATGGCTGACACGTCAAAGCCTCCTTTGATCTTGCCATGCTATAAATACCAAACTGCGGACCTGCTTGACACATTTATCATTCTAAATCGGGCTTATATTAGACCTTTGTGGATGTGTTTGTGAATTTTTACTTCTATTTTGCTTTGCTGCAACGTGCTTGCCCCTTGAACACGTCAAATTTAAAGTTTTAATTAGCTGTAGTTAATACGATGCTGTTCCGACTGCTGAGACTTTAGCGGGAATGCACATTTTGGGATGTTTCAGTAATTTTTAAAAGGTTTTTTTTGCTCCGTCCTTTGAACAGAGAAAGATTTCGGCATATTTCGAAATTTTTCGTGGTCCAGTAAGGTGTGGCAAAAGTTTTTTTTTATCTTGATGTCATTCCCAGTAATAAATCTGGGTCTGGGTTACAAAACATAAACTTCAAACTTACCCATTATGAGTGACTTCACAGAATACCATTCAGTGTAGTGGAGGCCCTTACGAGAGCAGACAATGGCAGTCTACACGAAATTCCCGTAGTGATGGGCAAATTCATTTACTCTAAACACTGCTTACATAAGTTATATTTCGCATCACAGTGAATGCCTAACCGAACAATTAGCTGATTTTAGATACGGGCAAAGAATTTGCGAGTGGAGCAAACGTATCCTACCGCATGGATTAAGTGGGTACTTCACTGTGCTGGTTCCGATATATAAACGTTATTGGGTGAGTTCAAAAGTCTAAAAAGTGCCCATACATGTTAAATCCACTATAAACTTCAAGTTACGGTATAAGTAGTCCATCCTATTACATTTTACTTCTTTGCTTTTCAGAGTGGGTACATAAATGAAGAACCTTTCGGGACATATTGGTGGACGAAAGGCTGGTGCCAATACAAGCAGGAATATTTTCTTTGTCCCTACGAAACGCGTACGTTCGCCATCTTCCTTTTTGATCACTCCGCTGACTATTTTACCTGATGTTAGTCGGGTTTAAAAGCGCAAACCGCATCGGCCACCTTATGCTACTGCCTCGAGCACTTTTGACAACGGAGTGTATTTACTCACTTCGATAGATTATTGCCCTAAATCAACTTTGCTTTAACCTCCATTCACCCCCCGCCACCTTGTTCTTAAGGCACTGATGTTGAGAAGACACTTCTTACTTTCCCGAAAATTGAAGAAATTTCATATGTTATGCTAAAAGACGACTATCCAATCACCCTGCACAAACCAGAGGAGCAAACCGTGCGTAAGTTACTTTGCTTTGCTCCCTGACACACCTGCCAAATTTCCAATTTAATCTTCTTTCAACTCATCTTTCTCATCTTCCTTTAGCTGGCTTTTACGTCAGAGCGAGTGACAGTCTAGACATTTGTTCAGAACACACGATGACCCTCTTGAGGTGGTACTTTAATGGTAATGAAACTGACTTGAAGGATGTAAGTTATATACAATCACTGTTTATGCAATTAAACCATAATGAAAATTAAGTGACTTCGGCTAATCTTGTTCCTCCTTTTACCAGCTTAGTTGTTACGTAGATGGGGAACTCTTTTGCAGTGGAGTGCAGCTCGGTGAAAGGAGAGAAGTCGGAATATGCAGTAACTTTCACCTAGTTATTTTTATGTTGACTTTGGCCTTCATGGCTTCATAACTTACTCGTAACTTTAGATATAAGTCATTTTCATCTTTAAATGGCGTTGATATTCTCCTTCAGGATTACAGAACGTGGATGGCAGACTTCACACGGGACACTGGGTTAGCAAACCACCGGTAGACTTCGGATACTACTACTGCTATCTAGACAAAGAGCGGACCAAAGCCCTGACTTATATTGTCGACTGGAAAAGTTAGTTTACGATTGCTTTTTGAACTGTTGATTATTTTCTGAAGTTTTGCGCTCTGTACACATTTCAAGTAAGTATCACGTATCTGACCAATTTCAGGCAACAGAACGCAATTTCCGGTTTCAAAGCAAACTATGCTTTCAGTTTTGTTTTAGCCATTTTGAACTAATTTAAAATTTCCCCATCCAATCTCTGATTGGTAAACTTGCATTGTTAGGGGAGTGCACACAAAGGCTGGTGACGAAACCAATTTCCATGTAAGGCACAGTGCAGAAATCGATTTGTAATGAGATAGTATTAATTTACAATGAATGCATGCTGTATACGGGGTTGGCTCCTAGCAATACATCGTTTACATGGTCTCATGCTTTGGACTAGTCCGATTGCAGATTTCACAAAAATACTTTGCACCAGTCCTACCTCACTGCGGCGTTTGAAAGAGTAGACAACTGCAAGCCTAGACGAGTTCACGATTGAGAGCTGCATCTGAATGTCCATACCAGCAAATTTGCTTTGCATGGTGGTCATCTCATGCATTCTGCATTGATTGCTTAGGAAATACTGCTTAGCCAATCAACTTACTGTTTCAAAATTGGTTGATTCTATACACTGTAGTAGGCTGGACGGCTAGCTTGACGCAATTATGATTAAACTCACGGCTCCCGGTTTAGACGTCGTAGCTCTGTTGGCTAGGACATTGCCTGAACTAAAGTCTTCCTCTTGCTAGCAAGGGATTAAATCTCACCGAGGCCACTGAGCTTTTCAAAAGTGAACCATATGAATTGCTCAAAGCTACCAAAACCCGCTATTAAAAAAGGAAATGGGCTTTAATGTACGAAATGTAATTGTTTTAATAATCGTATTACAGAAACAAATACTTAATTTCCAATAAATGTAGACGGCACAAAAAGGATGGACCGAGCTTCCATGGCAGCATATAACCCAACTCAAAATATTCGAGAAGTTCCTGCTACAACATCCTCCGGCGTAAAAATAGTTTTGCGTAAGTCGAAGATGACGTACCTACTTTATTGTTATGCTTCTGCGTGTAAAGTGGTCGCCATAGACCACGTAATTTTCCTAAATTTGTATAAGTTTGA